ATGGGCAGTGTGGATTCTCAGCTGCTACAAAGAAATGACAGCAATGTGTTTCACTGGACGTGCTTTTACTAATGTTTACAGAATAAACAAATAGCAATATTTACGTTAAAACTGTAGATGACGGACCATCACAACAATGGAGACGTTAAAACACTGACAAACAGTGACAGTTGCGTCGATTTGATTACAAGAGTAACAGCTTTCTAACAGCTATACAATCAGTTGTACATTTATAGCTTTACTTGTTTTTGAGGCGTTATATGTAACAAAGTCTAAAAGTCGGTAGCATCAGCTCAATCTGTAATTACCTTTAGTAGATTTATAGCAAGGATTTTTACTAATGTTTCTCTTATTTATCGTCTTGATTTCTGATTTTGGACTCTAAGGAAGAGGGCCTATCAAATAACAAACCTATTTTATCCACGGAACATAATATTACAGTGAGGTCTATTGAAATAAAAAAAAAATATTCTCCTGCCCTGAGTGTGGAAAGAGTTTTGTGTGTAAATCTAATCTCTGTTCACACTTTAGGATTCACTCAGGAGAGAAACCTTACCGATGATCTGAGTGTGGAAACCGCTTTGCTTGGAAAGGAAACTTTGAGGCTTATAAGAGGATCCACACTGGAGAGAAACCATTCACTTGTTTTGAATGCGGAAAGAGTTTCATACTTAAAGGATGCCTTAAAACTCCAATTCCATCTAGTTTGAGATTGTTCAGGTGTGATCAGTGTGACAAACTGCACCTTAAAGCACAAGCAAAGTCAAAACCTCATCTTTGTTCATTTTGTGGAAAGAGCTTTTCAAATCCGAAATATTTTAAGGATCATTAGCGTTTTCACACAGGAGAGAAACCTTACATTTGTTATTTTTGTGGGAAGTGTTTAACAACTTCAAGTGGGTTTAATAAACACGCCAGGACTTATACAGGAGAAAAACCTTATATCTGCTCAGAGTTTTTGTCAGACATCGACGTTGAAATCTCATCAGTGGACTCACACTGGAGAAAAAGGATGCTCACAGTGTGGCGAGGGTTTCTCCCATGCATCTACACTAAAAGCTCATGAGATGATTCACACTGGAGAAAAACCATTCAAATGCAAACAGAGTTTCAGTCAGTTATCCACACTAAAGTCGCATGAGAGGATTTATAGTGGAGAAAAACCATACAAATGCTCAAGGTGTGAAAAGTGGTTCTCTCGAACATCCACTCTGAGAAAACATGAGAGGATTCACAGCGGAGAGAAATTGTTCAATCACAGGGCACATACAGGAGAAAACCCCCACAAATGTTTACTATGTGAAAATAATTTTACTCAAGCATCCACAGAGAGTAGACTGACACCATCCAAGCGGTTGCAATTTGAAGGGCTTCATTTATTCAACTAACTTACTAAAGCAATTACTCACAATATGGTACTGCAGTGTTGTACTAAAAATGTTCCAAACATCAATTTAATCACTGCACTTATAGCTTTCATAATAGAATTATTAGCATAAGCTATTGAAGCATATCTCTGATGAGTGAACGACATTAGATAGCTAAAAAATATAGATTTTTTCATAATATGGCCCCTTTAAGCTTACTAAGAACTTCACATTTAGTGTTTTACATTATATGCATACATTTTGCCCTTCTGGTTTTGAGCGCAAACAACTTTTTTTTTTTCTTAAAAAAGGGGCTTTAAACCAGTCAAACCTGTCTGAGTCCATCCTTGGTCTGATCCTGTTGTTTTGAAGTGAGACAGGGGAAGCAGAATAAAACATTTGTGTAAATCCAGTAGGCCAGTAGTATTTGTCTGTACATTCTGTATACTTTTACCCAATATATCCAATAATTTGTTGTATTTTTATATCTATATACTTTATATTGTTATAAATTCTATTTTCACAATCCACTTATTTAAATTTTAATTACATTTTTACAGGTTGGACAGTTAAAAAAATATGTATGTGACCAATGAAATCTGAGATCAGAATTTTTGTGTGCCTCTTTCTCCGTTTTCAAAAAATTCACATCTGATTGGCACATCAACAGTGCTGATGTAGAAGGTCAACAAAATGGGAGTTTATATGTAAATTGAGGAACCTACGATTAAACTCTGGGCACGGCAAGTCTGCACCCTGCGCTCTACCAATATCTATTAAAATGCTGCTAAGTGTGCGTCAGCTAGGTTAATACATCAGTCTATGAGCTCTCTGAGTTTGTGTAAACAATGGCATTCACACACAATGGAAACTACAGTCAGTACAAATGAAAATAAAACTTGCAAAAATATTTTTCAAAGTATTTTAATTTATGTACTACATTAATTTGTATTCACATTTAGGTTAAGGAGCAGTGAGTGTTTTTTATGGCAGAGAAATGCAGTATGAAATATTGTAGTAATCCATATTATGAAGACATTGGAAGCAAGGTTTAAGAAGGTATTACAGAAAATCCTTCTTTATTATTTTTAAAACATGTATAATGTTAAATATCTAGCAAACTGCATAGAGGGACGAGTAGGAGGAGCAAATGGGAGAACACCCTGTTGCATCTCTCCCTCAGGAAAAGCAGAAGGAAAAGGGCAGATCTACATCAGTCAACTTCATTTAAAAAGCCTTGGTTATTCTGTAGCTTCCTGTTTGTGATGCAACTTCCTGTATAATCTCGGAACAATAGGACTCAACAAATGTTTTCTATTACAATGATCAGTGTATGGTTGTTGAAAATCTTCTTAAATGCTGATTGTGAGTGAAGCTGAAAGGTCTGATTCTAAAACTAAGGCCACCCTGTCGCTGTAACTTACATGACCTCAAACAACCGCAAAATTGCTCAAATTGACATAGAAGTAGTGTTGGCAGTTTTCAACGAAATAACGAGAGTGCAGCCCATGGTGTACATCTACTGCCATCTTCTGGTGAAAGATAAAAGAGCTTATTCTATAAATGTATTTCATACTGTGGTCAACAGTGCTGATGGGCTGCTTAATTTTTCTGGGCGAGCTGAGCTTGGCACATGAATCACACTTTGGAGATGCCTGTTCTACATGTTTACAATGTGGAAAGGTTTCTCTAGAAAAGAAGACTTACACAGATTCACCCCGGGGAAAGCATGGAAACAAGCTTCCAGTCTGAAAAAGGAAAAAAAAAAAAACACAGACGGGTTCACAGTGGAGAAAAGCTGTATACATGCTCTTGGTGTGGAAAAGATTTCAAACAGAGATAAGGATTCGCATTGTTGAAAATCCCTGTACATGCTCTACATTTCTCGAAGAAAAGACTCTTGGACATGGACAGACATCACTGGATTCAGAAGCAACACCTTACAAGTACCAACAATATGTTAACCGCTTTAGTTGGAAATGTGGACTGCAATCTCACATTGGAGAGAAGCCATACTTGTGCTCGCAGTGTGAAAAGAGGGTTTGACGCACAACTTCACTGAAATTACAGGCGTTACACTGGAGAGTAAAAAGTGCTCACAATGTAGAAAGTGTTCCACGGATGATCCAAACTTGAAGATTTCAGGATGTTTCATACAGAATGCAACCATAACTACGCATCCAGTGTTAAAAGAGCTTCTCTGTGTACATTTAAAATCAGCTAATATGAATCTTACGTTGAAAAAAAATATATAAATGTATTTATTTAATGCAATATATATATTTTCCAGCATTTAGGCAACATTGTTCTTTGAGTGTCACTGTCCTGCAGTATTTAGTTCTAACCTGGTGCTCTGACTGCACAAACTTACCAGAGATGCAAGCCGAATGTTTCAAGGTATTGAACATTGCATTTCAATAGTTTAAAGTCAAAAAGCAATTTATGACGATATCGTTTTCACTTTGGATTTGTTTAGTCACAGTGATTTTATAATGGCAGAAATTTGCCTTTTCAGATGTGCAACATAATGTGTTCTGATGAGTAAAGCTAGAGATTGAATTGGTTGAAAATACAGGCAGACTATTGGGAACATTTTAAGAAAAAAAGCTGCGTGTTGCCTTGGAATTGAAACTGAATCTGAAACAAAAGCTGACAAATGAGTTACTTAAGATAACTACAGGTAGCAGTTGGTTCCGACTGCGCAGTGAATACACAATGTTCTTCCTTTTTAGTTAAGACACTTGGATTTTAGGGAAAGATTAAGCACATGAAAAATGTTTAATACGGCCATTGCTTCATGAAATGACAATCAGCCCATTGGATGAGCAGCAATCAAAGTTACACCTCTAATCAAAAGAACACTTATCAGATAAGCAATTCTGATGTAAGCGGTATGCAGTTTGGTGCGGTAAACAATTATAAAAGGATTTTGTTTTAAATTAAGATTGTCAAAGAATAATCACTTAAATAATAAAAACAAAGTTTAAACCCTAATAAAATATTCAGACCACCACCAAAACCAAACTTCTTGAACTGAACAATATTCTTGACGGCAGTTTTCAGGTATGGCTGTAGTTCTCCAGGATTGTTGCTTGCATTCCTCTTTTACGGCTTTAGGTAGTGCTGTAGTATTTGATTCCAGACTTGTTTAGAAAGAGGTAAACTCTACGGATCAGAACTGGTCTCCTGATTAGGTGCCCTCTCAGTTCACATCTGCTGCAAAAACAATCATTTCTCCCTCACAATCAAACTCAGCCTCAGACACAATCTCAGCAAACAGCAATAATTTGGTTATAAAAATCAAGAGGGTTTTTTTTAAACACACAGAATCCTGAAAATGTGAAGAGTGAACATGTGATTTTTTTTTTTTTGTGTGCATTAGTACATCTGTTAAAGTAAAAGCCTGCAAATTCAAGCTTATGTTGATAGTGCTAACAGAATGTTGAGCTGCAGAACGCATCATGTAATCCACGTCGAACAGAGATCAAATGGAATTTTGTAGTGTAACATGGAATGGAATTTTATTATAAATTGTACATTTTGTGGACTGTTCACATGTACAGTTTTGCCATTTGGCGATACTTTTACCCAAAGTTACATTTCAAATAATGACCGCATTTGATCAGTTCTTGTTTTCCCTGGGGTTTGAATCCATGATCTTTGCATTTTTAGAGCAGTGCTCTACTGACTGAGCGACAGGAATGGCCATTTTTAACAGAAATGATGGTATATCTCACTTTGACATGATTTTGTGAAGTTTCTCCAATCCATTTGTGTACCCATGTTGCGGTTCCATTTTCAAAAGGAATAGGGCTGAGCTGGGACTGTTTTTTTATTGGCTTGAGAAAGTAATCACTGGCTGTGTTTTGATCAACTTTTTAGAATGGCATCTCTGTGTGCTTGAACAGAAACCTGTCGATTGTTAAAAGAAGCTTTGAAACCTTCCTGTTTGAGAGGACCAGAACCAGCGTTAATGTTATAGAGGTGGTGCAAAGGCTGACAATAATTGAATCCCCATTAGGATGATTTTTTTTTTAGAAAACACAGTGGACCAACCCTTAGCAGTTACATAAAGTTCAGTGAAGTGTCTTGTTTAATGCACGTCCAGCTGACCCACTTTTGATCTTTATGTTAATGACTCTTTCCAACCTCTTTGTCTGACATGATTAACAATAGTTTAAATGGTTTTTTTGGAAGGGGGCAATTTTTTTCAGGCAGACAACCTGTATCCTGGTATTGTAAGAAACCAGCCTTAGGTATAACCCCAGCAGAGGATGGAGCAGTCCAACAATGTCTGTGGAAACTTCACGTATGATTTCAAACAACAAGAATTTGGTGCCCCCCTCTCTTCCTCTAGACTCAAAAATGTACTAATACCTAAACAGATGACTTTAGAGCACTGATCACCAACATTCTTTGGTCTCTGGTTCCAAAGTTGGTCGACACAGTGCCAAGTTCAGTTTGAAAATCAAATCACCAAAAATCTCCATTGACTGGTCATTAAAAGAAAGTATGAAGTGGATTTCAGAAAACACAGTGGACCAACCACAGCAGAGGTTGGAGCAGTCCAAAAATGCTTGTGGAAACTTCACGTATGATTTCAAACAACAAGAATTCGGTGCCCCTCCCTCTTCCTCCAGACTCAAAAATGTACTAATACTTAAACAGATGGCTTTGGAGCACTGAGCATCAATCCACATTCTTTTGGTCTCTGGTTCCAGAGTGGGTTGACACAAAGAGTGCTTTCTTACACAGTAAACAGCACTGGTAAAGTGTTTTAGGCTTGTTTATTTTTAAAACAAGCCTAAAACAGCAGCCAACAACCCCGAGCATATGGTGTATTTTTTGCTTTTTTATTTCAGCTTCAGGATCCTCAAAATCGTTTCCTCAAGCACTCGAGAGAGTTTAATGTCTCCTACTTCAGTTTCACACAGTGCAATTTATTTCCTTCTTGCTTTCACAAATACTGAAATGCACAAAATTCTCAGAATACTCTAAATGCCTCCAATATCAATATGTGAGCGTGTCCCTGATTCAGGATTTAAGAGAGGCTGTGTGTTTCCCTGGGGAAAACTAGTCACTTGCATGGAGTCCCCAGGGCTCCAGCTCCAAGCCCCTGGCACAATAATATATTAAGAGTCTGAGATGGAATTTCTGATTTGTTTGCTTTGTCTTTTTGCACTCTGACAAGTGCACAAGTCCTTACTGCCGTTTAAGTCCTCAGCATTGCCCTGGGCTATTGTAAGCCACAACATAAGTCCATCGTGGTGCCTTTTATTGGGCATCGTTTTCATTTGTGATTCCTTATTGCCACAAAAGGGCCTGCTTCCAAGTTTAGTTGGAAAAATACAGAAGCAAATTTAACACATGACAGTGGTTTTAAGGACACGCTGTTAATAATTGACTAAGATTTAAATGTGCAACACAACTTCAGGAAACAGCTTGCAGGATTGCATTTAAATGTTTGTAAATGCATTTTGGGGCATCATAAGTGCATTTCCAAACAAAGTGTAATGAATTCAAAGGCATCATCACATCAATATTTTACAGAGAAACCAGACTTCCAATGCATTACTACAGACTAAACCAAAGAAATGATTAATATAATAATTATATTTATTTCTCTTAAATCTTTCAACTTCCCACTTTTATTGCAGATAATGCTGATGTCAAAAGCATAGACAGCTCATGTTCAACTGAAAGCAAGCAAAGCAGTTTTATTTTGATAATTTTCCCCTCATTGTTTTTTGTTATTTTAATGCATATTTAATCTTAAAATCCTAAGTAAGTTAAATGATCAGGCATATATCAGCAGATCGTATGTCTTGGCTCCGCCCACATCCTTCCATTAATATTCATGCTGTAAAAAAGCAATTCATTTTTGAAGATTTCTAGAACAACACGACTGTCAAGGAAAGCAGTGTGTGCTGCCACCAACACAACATGAAAAATTTTAAATGTTCTATAGTTTGACTTGGTGTCTTCTTCATCCAACAAATTTCATTACATTACTTTGAAGCAGTGGTGACGGAAGAACGGATTGATCTTTTACATGAAATAGGATTCACACAGCACAGCATAAAACAAAAACAACTTTTTAAATATCTCATAATTCATCATCTGGGAGTTTACTTTTGTCTGGATCGTTATGTCCTAGGGTTTATTTTTCTAATGGTGTCATTTAAGGTGTATGGCCTCAAATCCAGACATACTAATGCTCTTCTTTGAATTATGGGGAAGTCTTAAGGGTGTCATTTTGTGTGAAAGACAGACAAAGTGAGAGGCTTGCATAAGAATATAAAGTAATATATAAAAGTACCTGGAGGGCAGGATGTGCTTGACTTGGCAAAGTCCTTTAAAATGAATGGAGCTGCCAAACAGAAGTTCTGACTGCATTTATTTGCCTCTAGACAATACATGCAGGAAATGCTAATGTTCCTGCAGCACACAAATCACCTGTTTAAGGTATACTTTGTTCAATTTAACCCCATTGTGTTAATCATATTAACATAACTGAAAATCTTAAGGTGACTGAATGAATGTTTTACAGTTCTTTTTGGTTCTCCAAAACTCGTTCCAGTTGTTGGCTTGTCAAAGTTTTCCATTGACATTGCATGAGGTCAAACTTTACAAAGCTGTGACACAAACTGAGAAACTTGTAGAAACTGCAAACTCACCACAGTTTTTCAGGTTTTCATTTGTGGGATAACATATCAAATATTGTGTAAAAGTATCTGAACCCTAGGCTCGAGAGGTGGAGGGGGTATCTTTAAGAGTAATCATCAATCACAGTAAGAGCTTACATTTTTTATGACAGGTCACTCCATAGCAACCAAACTGTTTTACATAGCAACCAAAATCTTAGAACTCCATCTCAGCTTTAGAAGAAAATAGACATGGGGGTTGGATTATATAATGTAGAGTCAAAAAGGAGCATGATATTGTCACTGACACCTCCATAGCAACCAGACTGTTTACCATAGCAAACAATTTGGTGTATCTCCATCTCAGCTTAAGACAACCATAGAGACATGGGGGTTGCTTTATTTTAAACATAATAACAGGACCCCTATGGTGTGTGTGTGTCTGGGGGGGGGGGGGGTATATTATGTCACACATTTTTAGGCAGCAATAGTGCTACATTTTTGCTTGACATTTTTTTTTTTTTACTTTTTTTCTATTCATGGATGTCCAATTCCGGATGGAGACCGTAGATTGGTCAGTTTAATTTTAGGCATTGCCTCACGGGAGTAGCGTCATATCCACTACGTTCCTACATGAACACATGTAAGGACAATAGGAAAAAGAATAAATACAACAATCAAAAGCATAGACCAAAGTACAGAACGGCTGATTGGGTAAGGTTAAAAGTGATTTGAGTGACTATAATTTTTTTTACACATTAATGTACACAAGCTCCAACACAGTGCGCTCAGTTTCAGGCACCATTGCAGCACTGCAACAAAACAAAATGTAAGCGAAGAAGAAACAGAGCGCAACAAAGAAACTAGAGTAGCAGTTATGACGTGCTATCAACGGCTGGTTATGCACAGAGGTTATGGAGGGATGAAAGTAAAAGGCTTGCCACAGAGTACAAGCCCAGTTTAATTGGTGAACGTTCTACATATTGATGGCATGTGTCATGAAAGAATAATAACAGCCCGAAAACAGAACACGAAAATAATGTTTTCATGGCCTTTCTAACCTGACTCTTTTACCATTACAAAGAGAACATGAGAAGCAAATGATAGCGAGATTTGGAAAAACGCTGCCATTGCATTCTTCCTCTTAAATGGCTAAAAATGGCATCAGGTCTTAAATAGCAACACACAATACAATACAGGCCTTTACAATTCTACAAACATAAGAGAAATTAGCAATTTAAATAAGCATGTATTTAAATAATTTGAAAATTACACTGTTAGCAAAAAGAACACAACTATATGTGTATGAACCGGTATTATCTATATGTGTATGTTTAAAAATAGAGTATATAATGGGCATAAATAACATATTACCATCTGCGATGGAGAGGCGACCTCGCCAGGGTGTACCCCTACCTCTCACCCAATGTTCGCTGGAGATAGGCATCGGCAGACCCCCGTGACCCCAAAAAGGGAATAAACAGTTTGGAAAATGAATGAATGAACATGTTACAATTAGAAAAACAACCAACACAGCACTGGTAATCCATTAGGTAGACGTTTAACTTTATTACAGGATCTATCCTTGCAGTTTGCTCCACTCTATAAACTTTTACAAAATGCTATGTATAATTTCTTTGAGTCTTCACTAAATGAGATGTGCTCTTCCATACACTGGCTTGCTCTTCTTTTAACATCATATGTAATGTTAGATAACTGCATCTTTTTAAAATAAAATTAAACAAAGGCTGCACTGTATGTATAGCCTGCTAGGGGAGGTAACATGGGTCACTTCAAGCAGTTAAAAAACTCTATGATAAAGCACTTGGTTTCACAGTTCATGACCCATTTAATGTGGCAACCTCTTAAATGAGGGGTCTTGACAGCTTTTAGTATGTTTCAGACTTTTCATAAACGCCCAAAAGAATTCATCAACGAGTGAGAAATGTGTATCTGATGTCCCCTTTAATGCTATAGCCTTTGAGCACAGTCTTGTCCAGTGGCTCTGATGAAATGAAGGCATCATTTATTTGATATCTTTAATCATTGAGGGCATGC